CGGCACTGACTGGCATCACTTCTGGGCACTGACTGGCACAACCCCTGGGCACTGACTGGTGGCACTGACGGGCAGCACTGCTGGGCTGCACTGGTGGGCAGCACTGGTGGGCGGGCACAGGTGGGTGGGCACAGGTGGGTGGCACTGGTGGGCACAGGTGGGTGGCACTGGTGGGTGGGCACAGGTGGGTGGCACTGCTGGGCACATGTAGGTGGCACTTCTGGGCACAGGTAGGTGGCACTGCAGAGTGGCACAGGTGGGGGCACTGCTGGGCACAGGTGGGGGCACTGCTGGGCACAGGTGGGGGCACTGCTGGGAACGGGTGGGCGGGGTTAGTGGGCGCACTGCTGGGCGGAACTTGCGGGTGTCACTGCTGGGCACCGATCATCAGGGCACTGATCATCAGTGCCCTGATGATCGGTGCTGATCCCCGCTCTGACAACTGCCGGTTCTCGGCAGTACTTTCCTCACGATCTGACAGCGTGAGGAAAGTGCAGCCGAGAACCGGCACTTGCATTTCCCTGTGATCAGCGTGTCATTGGACACCGCTGATCACGTGGTAAAAGGCCGGTGGGATCGGCCTTTCACCACATCACGTGATCAGCTGTGTCCGTAGGACACAGCGATCACGGAGATCGCCGGGTGCGCGCCCCCTGGGGCGCGCAGGAGAGCGCGTTCTGGAGGACGTCATATGACGTCCACTCAGAACTGGCTGGCCGCGGTGAAGCCGTCATTCGGCTATGCGCGGTCGGCAAGAAGTTAAATAAATAATTCCAGTATATATGCCGCCATTTGTAGACACTATAACTTTCTTGTAAACCAATTAATTTACACATATTGGAATTATTATTTTTTTTTTTTTTTAGCAAAGACATGTAGTAGAATATATTTTGGCCTAAATTTATGAAGAAACTTTATCTTTTCAATTTTTTTATTGGATATTTTTTTATAAGTAAAAAAATACATTTTTTTGTTTGTTCAAAATTGAATGTCTTTTTTTGCTTATAGCGCAAAAAAATTAAAAACTCAGATGATCAAATACCACAGAAAGAAAGCTCTATTTGTGAAACAAACGTCATAAATTTAATTTATGTACATTGTTGCATGACTGTGCAATTGTCAGTTAAAGTAACACAGCGCCGTATCTCAAAAAAAATGGCCTGGTCAGGCAGGGGGATAAATCCTCTGAAGGACAAGTGGATAAATCTGCTAAACTGACAATGCTGCTGTCCAAAGGTGTCTCTATTGCTCCTTCATCATGTAGGCAGCACCTTAATGAAGGTGGTGTGTTCCTGGCCAGATCAAAGGGGTGAAAACAAAGAGAAAAATGCCTAAGAAAGAAAACTAATGTAGCCAACACATCTAATGATTTGAAATCTGCAATATATGAAATTTTGTATTTTGGGGTTAATACTACTTTCCAGGGATACAAGGTAATTCGGGTACATTGGGTTATGTTGCTGCCATAAGGAGATTGGACACTGGCAAACAAAGCTGTAAAGCCAACCCAGTATAACCCCTCTCCACTCCCAGCCTGCCTCGGTTTTTTTGCTAGTGTCTTAGAAGAAATTTAATTTTTATCAAGATTCTGTTTGTTCTAGCAAGTTTCTTCAGTTGTTGCTGAGCCACAAAGGGATCATTTTGCAGCTTTCTGGATCAGCCGATTCTTATTACCATGAAAGCCATACAGGACATTGCTGAGAAGCCGCATATCTGGCTTGTAATTTGTTCTTTGGCACTGGCCCGGGTAATTATGTACAACGTGTGAGGCTGTCAGAGTGCTATGTAGGTGCAGAGCTATGGTGCACCCATCTGGCAGTACCCTGTCCTGGAAGACCCCTAGGGCTTTTTGCCTGCTGGTGGTGTAAAGACTAGCAGAGCGGTATTCCCTTGACCCTTTCTCTCTTTTTCTGTCTTTTGGAAACCGTAGAGCCTTATGAATACCTTAGCTGCAGTGATTAGGACATTTACCCATTTTCACAGGGAGTCTGCTGGTGCTTGTTTGTCCCCACTAAAGGGTTTAATTACTACTATGCTTAGCAGCTAGTGGCAGGAAGGGGAAGCTGTGCCAATTTCAAATTTTGGTGCTCAAGTGGCCCTCACTGTGCTGCACAGGCTCTTTGCTCCTACTGGTTCTGTATGAGTTCCCTTTCTGGTGATCTTAACGTCACTGGTGCACACACAGACCTCCTTTCCCCCATCTTCTCCTTATTTGCATCAGATCCATGATTCTCTGGATATCTGGAAAAACGTATAATCTTATACCCACAGTTGATCCAGAGGAAGGCAAAAAATAAACCAGCAAAGTATGATGCAATTTGCTCCTGCTGGGGAAAAATTCCTTTCCTGGATCAAATTTACCTATCAATGTTAGTATCCAGTTATATTGTGTGTACTTATGAAAGAATCCAGGCCTTTTTTAAAACAATCCACTGAGCTGGCCAGAACCAACTCTTGAGGGAGTCTATTCCACATTTTCACAGCTCTTACTGTGAAGAAACCTTTCTGTATTTGGAGATTAAATCTCTTTTCCACCAGACATAAAGAGTGTCCCCTTGTCCTCTGTGATGACCTAAGGGTGAATAACTCTGCATCTAGTTCACTCTATGAACCACTGATGCATTTATACATGTTGATCATATCCCCCCTTAATCTCCTTCTTGAGAGAATAAGTTCAGTTCCTCTAATCTTTCCTCATAGCTAAGCTCCTCCATGCCTCTTATCAGTTTAGTTGCCCTTCTCTGTACTTTCTCCAGTTCCCCAATGATCTTTTTGTGAATTGGTGCCCAAAGCTGAACTGCATATTCTAGATGAGGTATTACTAATGATTTGTACCGGGGTAATATGATCTCTCTCTCTGGAGTCTATACCTCTTTTGATACAAAGGATTTTGCTCGCTTTAGAAGCTGCAGCTTGGCATTGCATGCCATTATTAAGCTTATGATCTACCGGAACCCCCAGATCCTTCTCCACCATTGATTCCCCCCTAGTATGTATGATACATGCATATTCTTTGTTCCCAAATGCATAACATTACATTTATCAACAATAAACCTCATTTGCCACAGAATTCCTAAACTTAAGGATACCATTTTACATTTTTGTTGGCACAGTCTGCACATGCTTAGATTTGCAAGTTGCTCCTAGCATCAGTGTATGCGGTCCTTAAAATCCCTCAGCCCATTTTCAAATGCATTCCCTATTGCATCTGTGTAATTTTTTGTAATGATTGGCTTATCCCAAATAATGTAATTGTTTCTTGTAAATGTTTTGCTTAGCAATGGTGGAGGGGTTCCTTAAAAATTAACTGCCTCCATTGTAGGCTTGGGTATTTCCTGTCTTTACAAGAATCCATGTGCCCTCATTGAAAGCATCCCTTTGTTTAAAACCAATATTTAAAAGTCTAGGAGCACTATCTAAGGTCTTTTTCTCCATTGCACATCCTACCCTGTGACCTGCCCTTGCTCTGTGGCCCAAGGTTTTGTTTTGGGATCCTGTGTCTATCCTGATATTCTTCTGTCCTACAATAACTGGAGCTCATGTCAATAGCCATACTCTACTGCGTAGAAGGGTTTTGGATATTGTACATCAGAATGGTCCTCCTACATATTGGAAGGACCATTCTGGCTCAGATATTAGTCAGCAGAGCACCAGTGCACAAAACATCTCATGTGTGTGCTCTTTTTTTTTTTTTTTTTTTATCATACATCATAGGAAACAAAGCATCTTCATATCCATGATAGGGTTATGCTGTCACCTTCAGGTGACTGGACACTGGCAAAACAAACAGGAAATCCCCCTCCTGGGCATAACTGTTTCTCGTTAGGCAAAGCTTCCCGCTCCACTATCATCAGATGGATTTAACAACTCCTTTAAGCGTATGATCTCACGTTTTAACCGTTCGCACATTTAAGTTTTAACAGATGGATTTTCAGGTTCTTCAGGAAGTTCTATAGGCTCTGTTGGGTTTGCAAGTGTCCTCTTGCCTAAATGTGGTAACATACCCTTTATGGTAAGTTAAAAATTCTATATTTCTCTGTTTGCATTTAAGCAGTCCTTAGCTTGAAAGTGAAAACGAATATAGCCACTACAACTAATGACTGGTAAGCTGCAATATTTTTAATTTTTGTTCTTGGTTTCGATATCATGTAACTTTGCAACCCTAGATTCCAAACTCAACTAGGATGTTATCTGGATAGTATTTGTATGTTCTCTCGGTGTATCCGCATGGGTTTCTTAAGGGCTCTGGTCTGATACCACTATCCAAAAACATACTGGTGTGTAAATAGTCTCAATAAAAAAAAAATGCCTATGGTTTGTATATTGTATGAATGGTGAAGGAACATTAGATTATTAACCCCTTCGTGCACAGGAAGTAATAGGAATTGATCAGTTTCTGTTGTAAAGTGCTACATAATCTGTCAAAGCTGTTTTAATCATGGAAAGTGATGTTGTTTTCGTCATGAAAGAGTTTGTAAAAAAAAAACAATCTGCATGCAGCCAGAGAGCTTTATTCAAAACATCAGCGTAGGACAGCATTTGTCCAAAAGGTGCCTTGACGCATTTTACACAGAGGTTCTTATTCATGAGTGTGTTTTCAGATTCTTTTTTTATTACCAATGTTTTGCTGTGGTTTTTTAAAACTTAGGTTTTCAGAATGCTTCATCAAGGGTCTGAATAGGTTTCAACATGCAGTAGCAGTTATCCGTTCTATTATTATAGCGTTAAGCTGGCCATAGATGGATCGAAATTCGGTCGGTTCAGTTTTTTGGTGTTGATGAAAGCATTCTGATGGCAGGGAAGCCTCCCTGCTGTCTGAATGCAAGAGCCATGTGTGAATAGGGGAATCGATTAATTTTCTTGCTGGTTGAGCAAAAGAAAATTAATCATGTATAGCCTGCCTTAGGTTATGTACCAATGTGCCTTTAGAACATGCCTAATGATGATCCATAAGAATGTATGTATATACAAATAATATTTTGTTCCTTTTTATACAACAGAATTGTTCTATACCGAGACAGCACATGTGCGGACACTAAATGTCCTGAACCAGGTCTTTCACCAGCGAGTAAAACGTGAAAACCTATTGACACCTGCTGAAACGAGAAGTGTGTTTTCCAATCTAGAGGAGATCCTGCAACTTCACGGTGAGTTTAATAGAACTTGGTATTTGATGCTGAGATCCATGAATATGTGTAATTGTAATGCCACTAAACACAGATTAAGGACATTTATAATATTTAACGGTTTTAGCTATATAGTGTATGCAAGACATCAACTTGATGTAAATTTAACAAGTGTGTGTATATACATTTAGGCCCATATATATATTTGAACACAGGCACAATTTCAGTTTTTTCAGGTATTTACCAAAACATATTCAAGCTATAGTTATATAATGAATATGGACTGAAAGTGCACACTCTCAGGTTTAATTTGAGGGTATGTACATCCAAATTGGAGGAAGGGTTTAGGAATTACAGCTCTTAAGAGTAGCCATCCCCCCTTTTTCAAGGGACCAAAAGTATTTGGACAATTGAATCAAAAGCTGTTTCATGGCCTGGTGTGGGATACCCCTTCATTATTTCTTCATCAATTAAGCAGGTAAAAGGTCTGGAGTTGATTCTAAGTGTGGTGTTTGCTGTGAACCTACATCATGCGTTCAGAGGAGCTGTCCATGCAAGTGAAACAGGCCATTGTAAGGCTTCAAAAACTAAACAAATCCATCAGAGAGAAAGCAGCAACATTAGGAGTGGCCAAATCAACAGTTTGGTACATTCTGAGGAAAGAAGAACGCACTGGTGAGCTCAGCCACATAAAAAGGCATGGACGTCCGTGGAAGACAACAGTGGTGGATGATCGCAGGATCCTCTCTATGGTAAAAAAAAAAAAACCCCATTCACAACATCCAGACAAGTGAAGGACACTCTCCAGAAGGTGGACATATCTTTGTCCAAGTCTACAATCAAGAGAAGACTTTACGAGAGCAAATACAGAGGGTTCATATAGCTTGAATATGTTTTGGTAAATACCTGAAAAAACTAAAATTGTGCCTGTGTCCAAATATACAGTTGTGTTCAAAATAATAGCAGTGTGTTGAAAAAAGTGAATAAAGCTCAAAATCCTTCTAATAGCTTTTATTTCCATACACACAAATGCATTGGGAACACTACACATTCTATTCCAAATCAAAACATGAAGACAAATATATCAAATTTGTGTTGTTCCTCTAAAAAAAATTGAAGAAAAGTGAATATTAGACTGTTCAAAAAATAGCAGTGTTTGTATTCTTCTTTACAAACTCAAACATTCACTATATAAACTGAAAAATGTTTGAAGATTTTGCTTATCTTTGAATCACTTAATTAATATTTAGTTGTTTAAGCACTGTTTCTGAGAACTGCTTTACATCTGTGTTGCATGGAGTCAACCAACTTCTGGCACCTGTGAACAGGTATTCCAGCCCAGGATGATTGGACTACATTCCACAGTTCTTCTCTATTTCTTGGTTTTGCCTCAGAAACTGCATTTTTGATGTCATCCCACAAGTTTTCTATTGGATTAAGATGCAGGGATTGGGCTGGCCACTCCATAACGTCAATCTTGTTGGTCTGGAACCAAGATGTTGCACGTTTACTGGTGTGTTTGGGGTCGTTGTCTTGTTGGAACACCCATTTCAAGGGCATTTCCTCTTCAGCATAAGGCAGCATGACCTCTTCAAGTATTCTGATGTATTCAAACTGATCCATGATCTCTGGTATGCGATAAATAGGCCCAACACCCTAGTATGAGAAACATCCCCATATCATGATGCTTGCGCAACCTTGCTTCACTGTCTTCACAGTGTACTGTGGCTTGAATTCAGTGTTTGGGGGTCGTCTGACAAACTGTCTCCGGCCACTAGACCCAAAAAGAACAATCTTACTTTCATCAGTCCACAAAATGTTGCGCCATTTCTCTTTAGGCCAGTCAATGTGCTCTTTGGCAAATTGTAACCTCTTCAGCACGTCTTTTTTTCAACAGTGGGACTTTGCGGGGGCTTCTTGCAGATAGCTTGGCTTCACATAGGTGTCTTCTAATTGTAACAGTACTCACAGGTAACTTTAGACCTTCTTTGATCTTCCTGCAGCTGATTGTTGGCTTAGTCCTTGTCATTTTGGCTATTCTTCTATCCATTAGAGAATGTTAGTTTTTCGTTTTCTTCCACATCATTCAGGTTTTGGTTGCCATTTTAAAGCATTTGCAATCATTATAGCTGAGCAGCCTATCATTTTCTGCACTTCTTTATATGTTTTCCCCTCTCCAATCAACTTTTTAATCAAGGTACACTGTTCTTCTGAACAATGTCTGGAACGACCCATTTTCCTCAGGATTTCAGAGAGAAATGCACTGTAACCAGCATGTACAACATTTGCTGCCTTCCTTCCTTAAATAAGGGCAATAGTTGCCACCTGTTTTTTAAAGAATGAATGACCTCACTAACAGAACTCCACACCGCTAATATTTTGAACATGCCCCTTTCAATTAGTGATTCAATTACACAGAATCAGCAGCATGCATGTCATGACTGTTGGGTCTGTTGGATTTCTATTACTCTACTACACCTGCTAGGAAATTATTTGCCATGTAGAAATATCATTTCTACCAAAAACAGTGATTGATCAGGTTAGTGATGTCTGACTGTTATTATTTTGAACACAACTGTATATAAAATTAACTATGTGTATATGTATGTGTATATAATATTATATATATAATATTATTTCAGCTCATACGTTTGCATACCCTTGGAGAATTGGTAATATATAGTTTGTGCCATAAAGAAAACATGAGTGAGTAGGCAAAACACACTTATGGGATTCATATTCAACTGTAGGCCATGGCAGAATGGCACGATCCTGAAACAAAACATGGGAACAAGTAAACAAATGAAATAACCCCTGTTCAAAAATCTGCATACCCATAATTCTTAATACTGTGTAGTATTATTATTATTATTATACAGTATTTATATAGCGCCAGAAAGGTTTGCTCAGCGCTGTACATTATAGTGGGGGGCAGAACATGAGACAATACAGTAACAAAACAATACACGAGGGGTTCGAGGGCCCTGCTCTTTCGAGCTTACAATCTAGAAGGGAGGGAAAAGTGGTACAGGAGGAAGTGGCTGTGGGGGATGGAGTGGTAGGAGGAGTGGAGGAGATCGGCTGTTAGGTGAGGGTGGGGTAGGCTTCCCTAAAGAGATGGGTTTTCAGGGTGCGCCTAAAGGTGAGGAGGGTAGGTGACAGTCTGATGGATTGGGGTAGTGAGTTCCAGAGGATGAGGGAAGTCCTGGAGAAGTCCTGCAGTTGGGCGTGGGAGGTGGAGACCAGGGAGCTAGAAAGTAGGAGATCTTGTGAGGAGCGAAGATTACGGGTTGGGTGGTATTTGGGTATCAGGTCGGGGAGGTAGTTTGGGGGAGCGTTGTGAATGGCTTTGTATATCAGTGTTAGTAGTTTGAATTTAATGAGTTGGGCAATCGGGAGCCAGTGGAGGAAATGACAGAGGGGGGTGGCAGAAGAGGAGCGGTTGGTAAGGTGGATCAGTCTGGCTGCTGAGTTCAGGATAGACTGAAGCGGGGATAGTCTGTGATGAGGTAGGCCGGTGAGAAGGGAGTTGCAGTAGTCCAGATGTGACATGAGGGAGTGACCGAGTTGTTTAGTAGTGTCTGGGGTTAGGAACGTACGTATTTTGGAGATGTTGTGGAGGTAGAGACTGCATGAGTTTGCCAACGATTGGACATGGGGTTGGAAGGACAGGTTTGAGTCTAGAGTGACACCTAGGACTTTGGCTTGCGGGGTGGGACTGATGGTGGCATTGTTGGTCGTGATGGAGAGGGTAGGGGGGGGCGCGGGCTGGGGGGGGAAGATTATTGCCCCCTTTAGCATCAATGACTACATGCAGTCTTTTGTAATAGTTGTCTATAAAGCCCCAAATTCTTCCTGGTGGTATAGCTGCCCATTCATTTTGGCAAAATGACTCCAGGTCATGCAAAGTCTTTGGTTGTCTTGCATGATCCACACGTTTGAGACTTGAGAGTTACTTGATGATATTAAGGTTAGAAGACTGTGATGGCCACTCCAGAACCTTCACCTTTTTCTGCTGTAACCACTGGAGGGTCATATTGACCTTGTTTTGTAGGATTTTTTTTTTGTGCAGAAGAATGCAAATTGTCTGTCAGTGTTTTATGATAACATGATACATTCATTTTGCCATCAACTTCCACAAGATTTCCAGTGCCTTTTTAGAGCTCACACACCTCCAAAACATCAGTGAGTCACCACCATGCTTCAATGGAAACGGTATTCTTGTCCCTATAGACCTTGTTGACTCCTCTCCGAACATAGCGCTTTTGGTTGTGACTATAAAGCTCTATTTTGGTCTCGTCACTCCAGATTACAGTGTGTCAGAAGCTGTGAGGTGTGTCAGTGTGTTGTCAGGCATATTGTAACCAGGCTTTTTTGTGGCATTGGCCCAGTAAAGGCTTCTTTCTGGTAACTCGACCTTGCAGCTCGTTTTTGTCATTGTAATATCTTATTGTGCTCCATGAAAAAAACAATGTTGTCTTTTTCCAGAGCAGCCTGTATTTCTCCTGCGGTTACCTGTGGGTTTTTCTTTGTATCCCAAACAATTCTTTTGGCAGTTGTGGATGCAATCTTTCTTTGTCTACCTCATCTTGGCTTGGCATCAAGAGATCCTCAAATTTTCCACTTAATAAGTGATTTAAAAATACTGACTGGCATTTTCAAGGCTTTGAATATCTATATCCTTTTCCCATCTTTATAACTTTCCATTACCTTGTTACACAGGTCTTTTGACAGTTCTTTTCTGCTCTACATGGCTCAGTATCTAGCCTGCTCAGTGCATCTATTTGAGAGCTAACAAACTAATTTACCATTTATACACTGACATTAATTGCAATATAAAAAGCCATAGATATCAGAAATTAACCTTAAATTGCCATTTTAACCTGTGTGTGTCACCTTGTGTGTCTGTGCCAAGGCACACTGCCCTATAGTAGAACTGCCGCTACAGGGTGCAGGGCTGTGCAAAATCACGTGTATACATCACTGCCGAGTAACACTGACGGGCGGAAACTGTGTGTAAA